ACACACACACACACACACACACACACACACACACACACACACACACAGATAGGGCTTCAGCAGTACCAGGCTGCGCTGACCTCTCGCTTTCTACCTCTGTCTGTCATACACACATGCATGCATGCACAGACAAACACACATCAACCAGTCAGTGCCAGTCTCTCATTCTGGCAACAATAAAAAGGTCTTTATGCTCCATTTTTCATCATAATGATGCAGAACACGTACACACACACACACACACACACACACACACACACACACACACACACACTCACTCAACAGGTAACCCACTTCAAAGTTAACAGAGCGACATCGCACATCTAAGCGTCTGATATCAGCTGATAACATTATCAGACTAAACACTCATTATTTAAACACACATTGTCACGCCCACATTCACATGCATACATACACGAGTGAAGGCAGCAGGGTACCGTGGGATGAGGGTGGCACTAATAGCACAGATCAAAGATTGTTCCACTGACAGGTGCGCAGCTGCACATGTGTTATGTAGAGCTCACCTGCTCAGTGTCAAGATAGGTCAATAAGGGCTTATGGCTGTCACACAAATCGTCAAGTGCTTGAGAGCTGCCACTTTGAGCCCTTTATGCAGATTTTCTTGCAGATTTCGTAGAGGGAACTACCCACTGTTCATGGCGTTGTGACGTTAAACGTGGGGTTACCAAGGGAAGCCCAGAGGCTTAAAAAAAAAGGTAAACAAAGGGACCTGGCATATTAAATTCAAACAGAAACATTTACGAAAAGGATTTAAGATGGTCCATAAAAACTCTTGAAATCAGAGGAATGCAAACATAGGCTATTTTAAAAACCTGGTTTATTCATCAACCATTTCTGTTCATGTTGCTTATTGAAGCTGCTTTGACAAAAAGAGTAAATAGATTGGACAATCGCCTCTCCTCTCGTACGTAAGAATGTAAAACAATTAAAAGTTCTGTCCCGTTTGTATTTGTACCATTTCAAGCCATTGCAACCTCTGCCACCCAGCTGATGTCAGTTAAGACCCTGAGGGGTTCAGGGCTTAAGGCTTTAGGCGGCACATGTTGATTGGGCCTTAGTGTGTGTGTGTGTGTGTGTGTGTGTGTGTGTGGCATGTCAACATTATTTCGAGGATCCAAGCATACAACATATTCTACTGTCAAGCACCAGTATTGAGTAAGAATAATGGTTCTACTTCAACTCACTAAACAGAAAGAATTCGATGTAACATTCAGAAACATCCATCATCATTATCATCATTATTATATCATCAATCAACAACCTGTTATTTAAAGGGCCAGTGTGCCGCATTTCAGGGGACCCATTAGCAGAAATGGAATATAATATTACCCTATACCTTAGAATGAACCCTTCATATCTACATATGGAGCAGGTCCTCTTAACAGAGTCCACCATGTTGCACCGCCGCGTTTCTACAGTAGCTCAGAACGGACAAACCAAACACTGGCTATAGCGAAGGCCTTTTGCGTTTTTTACGTTGCCTGAAGGCCACCGTAGTTCGCCAACGCGCTTGTGAAACTGCATTAACGTGAGCCGTACAGTGCAAAACTGTGATACCGTCGTCTGTCTTCTGTTCTTCCTACTGTGTTATCATGGTAAGGATGGTGGTGTTACCGTGGTTTTGCGCTCAGGTTATCGCATTCTTGAAAATGGACGAGTCAGCGGAGGGGGCAATTCCGTTGGTTGCAATCTGGAACCGCACCGCCAGATGCCACCAAATCCCACACACTGTGCCTTTAAGGTCTTGATACAATACTTGAGAAGCCAGGACTGCTATGAGGAAAAATGGGTCAACAAGTGATTCTTACCTATTTAAGTGTGTGTCGGCCCTGGACCCCAGCAGCACCCATTAAACTCTTTAACAAGATGAGAACTGCAGGGCACCAATTTATAGAGATTGGATGTTT